GGACGGGTCCGAGGTGCTGGCTGGGACCGGGTCTGAGGTTCTGGCTGGGACCGGGTCTGAGGTTCTGGCCGGGACCGGGTCTGAGGTTCTGGCTGGGACCGGGTCTGAGGTTCTGGCCGGGACCGGGTCTGAGGTTCTGTTTGTTGTTGTTGCTGCTGCTGTGGTTGTTTTTTTTGCCTTGTTATACACACATACATACTGCTAAAGAACTGTTATTCCTTTTCCCATATCTTTGTCTGAAAGCCCTTTGATTCCAAAGTTATAATAACTTGGCAGGAAGGTGATCACATTTTCCCATTGCAAGGGAGGTTCCCACCTCCCTTTCAAAAACCTGTCTTTCAAACTAGGACAGTTGTCCAGGTCTGTCTGTCTGTACAATTTCTTTTTTACTTCCCTATTTTTCTTGTAACCCCTTTTGGCCAGGTCTCTGATCAGGTCTCTCTCTGGACACCCAGCAGGTGTCCCATGCCTGGCTGGGCTGAGAGGGTGCTGCACCTGGCTGGGCTGATCTCCACAGGCACTGCGTTCACCTCTCAGGGCAGCAGATTTCCCCAAAGCATCCATCCTCGATGGCCTCACCTCTCAGCAGGGAATTGCTTTCAAGCAATTTTTATGCTACTGCTGGGCTTTGCTGCCACCGTGGCACTGCCACTGGGTGTGAATCCCAGTTCCATTACCTCCCTCCTTCCCACTGCCTCCAGGCTCATGCCAGGGATGTGCAAACTGCTGCCAGTCCAGGCAGCGCTGTGGGAGGAGGCTGTCACGTCCAGCCCTGGAGAGTCTCTGCAGCAAGGGTGTGTCTGTGCATGCTCCCAGAAGGGCATATCCAAAGCAAAAGCATTACCAAAATTACCCAAATTACTCAGCAACTTCCATTTTGAAGCAGAGGCAGCACAGGAGGAAACGGGTGACATTTTTTTTTCCTTTTCAGGCAGGGAAAGACTTAGCTGGGACCAGGGGATCTCCCTGAGGTTCTGGGTGATGGCCGAGCAGCTCCACCTCCAGCTCAGAGTGCAGGAAAGAGCTCAGGACCTCCAGCTGTGTGGCATTTTTTGGGAATCTGCAGATGGAAATCACCCTCTGGCATCTATTAGAACTGCCCGTGGTTTCCTCCTCTTGTTAGCAAAGTGGAACCAAGTCAGTGGGCAAAAAGGGGGATGGGAGAGTAGAGCGGGGTCACATCCTGTCCTGTCTGGGCCTAGGATCAGTGTTTTGGGTATTTTGCTTCCCCTGGTCCAAGATCACTTCCCACTCTCTTTGAGGTGTATGGATTGACTCCTGAATTGCTCAAGACTTCTCCTTCTCATTCTGTACTTGTTTTTCTCTTTCTTAATGCTGGATCAAAAAAGCCAGAGCAGGCTGTCCTTTGCTTTCCCCTGGAAAATCCCCACAACTTTTTATACCAGTCTGGTACTTTGTATAAAACACTAATCAACGTCAGGCTGAAGATGGAAAATCAATTTCAACCTTTGGCATCTGAGGTTCTTCACTAGGCTTTACAAAAAGGGGCTGGTTTCAGCAATGAATCCTTTAAAAGTGAATTCTGCCTTTCTTTTTTTTCATCTTCCCTTGGTTTTCCTCCCTTTTGCCCTTTCCCTCTCCTTCCTCATCTCCAGGTGGTGCTCCAGTAAAGAGGATGCTCTCCTGTTCCTAGCTCCTCTACTCTCTGCTGGCTTTTGTCATTTACAGTTTAGTTTTCCAAGTTCATGAGCAGCACTAGGTAAGAATCCTGTGGATCCTGCTGATCTCTGTGGCACAGCTTCCAGCCTGAGTATCTTCCTGGCTGCCAGTGCAGCAGCTCCCTGTGAACAGCAGAGCTCAGAGCAGGGTCAGGCCCTTTCCATAAACCTTCTCTACTTCTGGGAACACCAGCATCCCTCTGGATCCTGGTGCATCCGTCCAGCCATGGCAGCACAGGTGTTGGAACAACTTCACTGAACCTGGGTAAAGATTAGATGATGCCAAAGAATTGATTATAATTTGCTGCCATTTCCCTCCCTGCTTTTCTTATTTCCTGCACGTTCCCATTTATTGTGCCAGGGTGTGTTGGACCCTTAGGAAAACCAGATCAATAAAGGAAAAAAGCCAGCAACAACAAACTTGGCCTGGGCTCTTTTTTTATATTGCTGACCTGAAGCTTCTTCAAGGCAGCCCTGGCAAAGGATGCAGCAGAGCACTTAACTCAAAAGTGATCTTGTCAAAGAAGTTAATTTGCTTTTGTTTCCCTTCAACCAGAACCATTTTCTCAGTGAGCTCAGTGGCCAGTTTATTATAAGCCTTTTTCTTTTAAATTTTCAAAGATGCCAAGAGTAGCTGAGACATTTCTACCTTTTTAATAGATCTTTGTA